TTTTTTTTTTTTTTTGTTTTGGTACCAGGGATTGAACTCGGGTCCTTGTGCTTGCAAGGCAGGCGCCAGAACCACTGAGCTAAATCCCCAGCCCCAATGCCTCTTTTTACATCTATGAAGCTTAATTCCATTGGAGCTTCCCTGGGAATATAGCAGGCAGGATTTACACAAAGCAGAGCAGTGAAGAGGGGAGAGCAAAGAGTTCTAGAACGACTTTCTGAGTCCGTTATGCTCCTTTGGTGACAGGTGACAGAAGTTGTCATGGCTACTCAGGTACATTCTACAAAGAGCATTGTTACCTAGTTAACCTGTAGTTGCTTAATAACACAGTTAACCCATTATTGCCTAATAGCAGCTCATAGTTGTCCAATTCCACATGGAGAGGTGGTCTCCTCTCAGTAGCATCAAAAGGAACAAAATGCTTAGGAATAAATTTAACCAAGAAAGTATAAGGCCTATACACTTAAAGCTATGGAACACTGTGAAAGGAAATTAAGTCCTAAGTAAATGGAGTGACATCCATGTTTGTAGCTAGGAAGAGTTATTATTGTTAATGGACTGGTAGAGCCTTTCCCTTTTTGTTCTGAACTCTGGGCTCCATCTTCAACACTGGAAAATATATATAGAGGATAACTCAAAGCAATCTACATCCCAATATATTCTCTATCACAATCCCAGTGGCTTTTATTGCAGATAGAAAAACTGATCCTAAAATCAATGGATTTGTATGGAACTCCAGATGGCCAAAACAATTATTTTAATCTATTCAGGCTGCTATGACAAAAATACCATACACCTGCAGATTTAAACAACACATATTAATGCTCACAGTTCTGGGGGCCAGGAAGTCCAAGATTGGGGTGCTGGAAATTTGGGGATTGCTTGTTTCCTGGTTCATTGATTATCATTCAGTGTCCTCACAGGACAGAAGTAGAGAGAAAGTTCTTTGGGTTCTCCTTAATGACTGACAGTGACTCATACCTATAATTCCAGAATTCTGGAAGGCTGAGGCAAGAGAGTCACAAATTTGATCCCAGCGTGGGCAATTTACTAACTTAGATTCTGTCTCAAAGAAATGAAAAAAAAAAGGCTGGAGATATAGCTCAATGCAAACAAAGTCCCTGGGTTCAATCTCCTGTACCACAAAAAACTAAAAAAAAAAAATTAAGGAACATCCAGGTGTGGCGGTACATACTTGTAATCCCAGCATTTGGGAGGTTGAGGCAAGAGGATCACCATGAATTCAAGACCAACCTGGGCTATATATTGAGACTATCTCAAAAATAATAATAATAATAATAATATCAAGGGTGTTGGGAAGACCACACCTCCCCAAGGGTACCTTTTAGTCCATATAGTTTTTGTAAATGAGTTAATTCTGCAATAAAAAACAGGACACAGAGGGCCAATTATTAGAATAAGGGCTACATCAGAGCAGGAGAGTTGGAGCCAGAGCCCCAGAGCTCAAGAGCTGGGTGTCTTTATTCCTTCAGCAAGAACAGCACAAACAGCTAAACAGTGTTCTTTATAACAGTTATAGTCCCTTAGTCTGAGTTTACTGAGACATGGTGAGACAAAACACCTGCATGACCTTGACTCTGCCTCACATGCATGGTGAAGTATGTTAAGTCATTCTTAGATAACTGTGGTCCATAGTGCACATGTGCCTGACAGTGAGGTTATGTCCTTAAGTGTCCTCAGGTGTACTTATGTCTTCTGGGCTTTGAGTATAATCAGAAGTGATACCTCACAGGCATAAATTCTATACGTGAGGAATCTACTTTCCTGATCTAATCATCTCCTAAATACCCAACCTGATGATATAGCAGAAATATAACTCCCAACCTGCTAGATGTCAGATGTGCTGAGTTCATGACCCCTGAAATGGAAGAATGAATTCCAAAGCAAAAAGGAAGTTAAGAACAGGAAATGTTTACTGGAGAATAGGACCAGCTCCTGTGAGTCAAGGGGTCCCAGTTGGGCTGCCACTGATGCCCTTTCAAGGGTAGTTTATACAGCAAAGTCAGAATGTGGGTACAAGGTGGGTCAAACTATAATAAACTTATAGGATTACAAGAATAGCTGCTTAGCTAGGATTAATCCAGTAAGGAAGCAGGGCATGTAGCAAGGTCATATGTCTAGCACTGGTGAAACAGCAAAACTTTCTGTTTAGTTGAATTGGCTCTTTATTGCTAGTCTGAGAGAATGGAATGCACTTGTCAGGGGCCTTGGAGACAAAGTTTTAATTAATGCCAGTGGGTCAGTCTGCGTTCACACATGGGAGACCTGCCCCATTCAACACTTGAACAAAGAAGATATACATTCTAGGAGGGGGCATTTCAAGTGAGGCAACTTTGGTACACATTCATTGGTTACAGAAATTGAATATACATCAACAAGTGGTGTGGGACCCTAACCGCTATGTAACCCCTACTTAGCCAGCATATAGCAGCACACATTTCTTTCCTCCCAGCTCTAAGATAAAATCAAAACAGAGTGTATGGAAGCCTGGTACAGGTAAGCAACATAGTGACTCAAGGCCTCCTTAGAACAGAACAACCTGAGGTCTGGAGATGGAAGACCAGGTGCGCTGAATAGCTGACTCCTTTAGACAGATGGCAGAAAACCGAGCCCCTGACCCCTGGCCCACTTGCTGTGCTTGCAGTCCTCTTCCCTTGCCTTTAAAAAACTGTGCTAAACCCTGTGTGGGGCCTCTCCAAGCTGTTCAGTTCTGAGAGTGCCATATGGCCAGACTAATAAAGGTCCATTTACCAACAAGTCTGGGGTGGTTCCTTCCTGGGTGACTCTCGTTCCTCCATCGAGCTCTTGGAGCCTCACTGAGCTATAGGTCCCAGCATTGTGGAGGCCCTTTGGGCTGTTCAAGGCTCCCAGAAGTAAAGCCCTGGGCCTTGAATCCAGAGCCATCATTGGGCTACAGGACTCAGCATCATGAAGGCCCTTTCAGCTGTTCATGCTCCTCAGAGGGGAAGTGAGACTTTAGGTAGGTCTTACAGTGGGCTTAGTCATGGTATTGGATCATACATAATACTGGTAACATGCTTATTGGGAGATTTAAGGTATGAGATCTATCTCATTTGCATTCCAGTGAAATGACAAAACTCTTTTGGAGACAAAGACGTTCTTGAGATGCAGAAATTGGCTCAGACATGTCCAGGCATGTGAGGCAGGGCAGGCCTAGACATGTTGAACAAAAAAAAAATTCAAGTAGGGAGTTTCCCATAGTAAATCAGTTTAAACTACAGGAGCAAAATTTCCTTGCAAAATTCCCTTTCATTATAACCTCACTTATCATCCCAGCACTGGGGAGGCTGAGGCAGGAGGATCGCTGTGAGTTCAAGACCAGCCTGGGCTACATAGTGAGTTCCACGTCAGTCTCAACTACATAGTGAGACCCTGTCTCAAAAAACCAAAAAAATTTTTAAAAATTAAAAAATAACCTCACTTATCAACAACCCCTGCAACAAGAACAGTTTTGAGAAGGGATGGGTCCAGATGTCCTGGTCATCCACCTGGGTGTCTGATGCATATCTAGACTTAAAGGACTGAGTGGTACCAATTATAGTATAACCTCAAGTTTCCATTTTTCCTTTAGGGACGTATGAAAGTTTGTCTTTGTCTTGGGGCCTGGCTTTCAGGTGTGCCTCCAGCCCAATTCTGATGTCTTTATTTTTCATTAACTTCCTTGAGAGCCCAGTCACTTTCTGACTGTATATTAATTGCTATCTAACTTAGTTGCCTATAATACTGTGACATCTATGGAGGGTTGTACACCATGCCATGTTACACCACACTGCAGCATCCGGAGTGGACAGCAAGCCCCTGCTCTGACGTGTCATGCCACTGGTCTACTCGAACATACAGCTCCAGCAACCCTACATCTAGCATTGATAAAGAACTAAAGAAACTGTTTAGATAAAGGATTTCCTACAGTCCTCCAGTGTACCAGCTGAGCTATCAAAGATAGCACTAAAATAGAAGATAATTTATTTGAAGATGGGGAAAGAGAAAGAGAGATGGCAGGCAGATACTTTGGATGAGTAGGGAAAAAGCGAATTGCTCATGGATTTCTTGTCTGCAGCTCCTTTTAGTGAGATCTTTGTTCCAAATAGGCTCTTGGAAGCTGATTGGCTCCCTGGCTTTTTTTTTTTTTTTTTTTTTTTGTACCAGGGATCAAACTTGGGACCTTGTGTTTGTGAGACAGGCAGCAGAACCACTAAGCTAAATCCCTGGCTCCCTGGCTTGTCTTTCATCATAACTGGCTTTCTTCTTCCTTCCTTTCTTTTTTCTAGACAGTGCCTCACTTTGTAGTTTAGGCTGGTCTTGAACTCACTATATAGCCCAGGCTGACCTCAAACTCTTGGAAGTCATCCTACCTCTGCCTCCAGAGTGCTAGGATTATGGGCATGCACCACCACTCCTAGTTTAATTTCAGATTTCTTCCAGCCATGTGACCTTTCCCTGTCTGTTGGTATAGGGTAAGATGATGGTGGGACCTGAAAGGACAGGTAGGTTAGACTGAAGCATTAAGTACAGGGGAAGTTTATGATTCTTATGCTAATCCTACTACCTAGCAACACCCTAGTTCTGAATTCTTTGCCTTTGTTTTCCTAATTGCTTGAGTTTAGCTGCCTTTGTCATTCCAATTCCTCAGAGTTTAGTCGCATTTGCCCTTTTAATTGCTGGAGTCTGGCTGCGGAGGTCAAAACTACCATATTACCTCAGAAACCTGGGAGACATCAGCTGCTGGGCAAGAATCAATCAATGTGCTTACTGCAAGGACGAGGGGCCCCCATAGACCCTCTGCCAAGGTATAGTCCCTCTCCACATTTGGGGGGAAGGAAGACTCAGACTGAGAGGACTGGGCTCCTTCTCTCTTGGCCCTGGGAGCCCATGGTAAATGTTAATATAGGGGACCAATGGTCTGTTTCCTGGCGCCGAGAAGTCAGTGTTAAAGACTCCCCTGGGAGGGCTTTCATCACAAATTTTTTGAGAGGGTGGGAATTGAGCTGGAGACATGAACACCCAAAACTAGGCTTTTATTAGGAGATGAGGTGTGGAGAATGAGGTGCCAGGCTGTCTCAGACAGGCAAGAGCAGCAGGGAGGGGCTGGCAAGGTGAGGTTTTATATGGGTTAAGATATTATTGGGGGGGCATACTGGAAGTAGGTGTTTGGCTGCAACCAGAGGTGAGGTTTAAATCCATTGGCAAGTTTAAATTTCCTGGTGGGAATGTAAGACCTAAAGTAACTCCATGCTAATAGGCCAGAGACTGTGCTTCTTCATATGCTAATTGCTAACCTGGTTAACAGCCCGCCCAGGGGCAAATGGTATGACAAAAGGTGACCTTAGAATATTTCCTGCATGAGATAAGCAGTATGTTTGGAATCTTGTCCTCTGGTAGTTCTGTGAATACCCTGACTTTTTGTTTAGAAAGACCCTATAAAAAGGACCTCAGCCCCTGAGCAGTTGCCTCTCTGAGCTACCTGGCCCCAGGAGTGCTGTCTGGCCAGACTAATAAAGGTCTTTTACCATCTATCCTGGTGTGTTCCCTCCTGGGTTTCTCATTCCTCTGTCGCGCTCCCGGACCCTTGCTGGATTTTAGGACCCAGCATCGTGGAGGCCTTTTTGGCTTTTCATGCTCCGTGGAGTGGAAGTGAGACTTAGGTCTTACAGGAAGGACTAGAAGTGGGAGAGCTTTGTGGTAGGAAAGTTGGGTCTTTGTTTCCCCAGAGTGATTTATTATCTGCCGGGAAGAGCCATTTAGAACGCAGGGTTAGGGCCATTTTATCTACCGGGGAACTCTGTCACCGTTCCCATCCAGGGGGCCATAGGAGCAGTCCAAAACTGTTCACTCACAAGGGAGCAGATGGTGAGCCTGGGACCAAAACAAGTTAATCACTCTTTCTTCTTGTTGGGACAGGAGCTCCTTCATAAGCTAAGGGCCACCATTTATTTCTCTCTGACTGAGGCTCAGATGTCACTCCCTTCATATCAACTTTCCTTGACCACTACCCTGTCTGAGTAGTATCTTCTCTCAGGAGAAGAAAATCCAGAGGAAACAGGCCCCAGGGATCTGGTGGACAGACTTCAGTCAGAGTTCCCTGAAGTACGGGCTGAGACTAACCCACCGTGTTTGGCTGCTCACCACCCTCCAGTGATGGTTGAGCTCTTGTGGACCACTTTGCCTGTGCAAGTTTGACAATACCCCATCTCTCAGAATGCCAGACGGGGTAGCCCCTCACATTTAGAGGTTGCTGGACTTTGGGATATTAACTGTCTCCATGGAACACCCTATTCTTGCCAGTATAGAAACCGGGAACATCGGATTACAGGACAGTGCAGGACTTGAGAGAAGTTAACCCATGAGTGATAACTCTGTCCCCAACCCATACAATGTCCTGAGTTTGCTGTCTCCTGGGCACCAAGTATATGCTGTGTTAGATTTATAGGATGTTTTTTCAGTCTGCATCCTGCCCCAGCTAGCCAGTCTATCTTCGCCTTTGAGTGTACTGACCCAGTTTCCAGTGACTCATGCCAGCTCACCTGGACCCGGCTGCCTCAAGTCTTCAAAAATGCACCCACCCTGTTCAGTGAGGCCCTCCAGAAAGACTTGGTGAGTTTGTTTTTGTTTGGTACTGGTTATTGAACTCGGGACCTTGTGCCTGCGAGGCAGGCAGCAGAACCGCTGAGCTACATCTCCACCACCCTAACCTTACCCTGCTTCAATATGTGCATGGTTTGTTATTAGCTGCTACTAGCTATTCAGAATACCTGTAGGGGGTTCAGAGGCTTCTTCGGCTACTAGAAGCATTGGGCTACCTTGTCTCAGCCAAAAAGGCACAACTCTGTGCCCCAAAAGTGTCCTATATGGGGTATGAAATCTCAGAAGGAAGAGCCTTGGCCCAGGCCAGGAAATGAGATATCCTTCAGATACCTATGCCAACTACCAATAAACAGGTATGAGAATTCCTAGGTGCAGTTGGACACCATCACCTATGCATACCTGGCCTTGCTGAGATAGTGTGGCCCCTCCATCCTACCACAGGAGGAAATCAGTCCCTAAAATGGGAAATAGATGAAGAAAAGGCCTTCTAGAATCTGAAAAGAGCTCTGGGATCAGCCCTGGCTCTGGCAAAGCCCAGTGTTACCAAGCCATTTCATCTGTTCATCCATGGAGTAAGTAAGAGGAATCACCAAGAGAGTCCTAACAGTCCTTTTCTAAAAGATTAGATCCTGTGGCCTCAGGATGGCCTTCATGTCTTAGGGCAGTAGCTGCCACAGCTTTGCTGGTCACGGAGACTGATGAGTTGACCCTCAGACAGGACCTAGTCCTAACTGCCCTCACTCAGAGAGCCTCTTCTCAGGGGGGCTACTAACAAAGGGGTGTCAAATGCCTGCCTCATTCTAGCAAAGCCTCTTGGTCAACCAGCCTCGCATCATCTCAGCAGGCCAGATTCTCAATCTGGCTACAGTGATGCTGGGTGATGATCCCCAACACCCCAACTCATGACAGTGAGGAACTGTTGGACCAAACCCAGGGGGGCCATTTGGACCAAAGGGGGGCCATCCGCTTGGCAGAGGCAGATGTCACCCTCTTCACAGATGAAGCAGCACGGTGGTGAGCAGGGTGGCAAAGGTGTGGGCTGCAGCGACTACAGTTGATCAAGTCATTTGGGGCCAGCCTCTGCCCAAGGGACATCAGCCCAAAAGGCAGAACTGATCACCTACACCCAGGCCTTGAGATGGGGAAAGGAAAAGAAGATAAGTGTGTACACTGACAGGTATGCCTTTGCTACTCTACATGTCCACTCCTCTATTTACAAGGAAAGAGGGCTCTGGACAGCCACAGGAAAGACTGTCAAGAATAAAGAGGAGATACCGTCTCTCCTGGTGGAATGGCTTCCCAAGAAGGTGGCCGCCATTCATATTCTGGGTCACCAAAGGGACAGTGCACCTGAGGCTAAGGAAAATCAACTTGCTAATCATGCAGCCAGAGAGGCAGCCCTAAAGTCAGCTGAACCCTTGGTCATCCTGCCTACTGTGAGCCCTCCCCCTTTGCTCCCGACTAGCCCCACTTACAAAGAGGAAGATAAAGAAGCAAGCCAGCTGCAAGCAAAGCAAGATTCCCCAAGGCTGGTAGAAATGCCCAGATGGTCACATCTACCTCCCATAGGCATTAGGTTGATAGCTCATTCAGCAGCTGTATTCAGTCACACAACTGAGGGACTCTAAGATGGCCAAGCTTCTAGCTCCAAGATACTGTTTTTCAAAGTTGCAGGACCTGGCTTACCAGATCTCTTATTAGTTACCTGACCTTTGTACAAGTAAAACCCTGGCAGGGCCCCTTGTGGTCAGATTCCAGGGTTGGAATACTGGAGGACAGTGGGAAGTGGACTTCACAGAGATCAAACCACCAGCAGGCAGCTATCACTACCTCCTGGTTTTCATAGATACCTTCTCAGGTTGGGCATAGGTCTGTGCTACTCAGTGGGAGACTGACACTGTTCTGGCAAAGAAGCTACTTCAGGAATTGATTCCCAGATTTGGACTACCAGTATCCATTGGATTTGAAAACAACCCCATCTTTGTAGCCTCTATAACTCAATTATTTCATAGGGTACTGGACTTAAACTGGAAACTCCACTGTGCTTACCGAACTCAAAGCTTGGGGCAAGTGGAGCAGATGAATCAGACCCTAAAATCTACTCTGACCAAATTGACTTTGGAAACTGGTGAAGGGTGGGTCAGCCTGCTGCCCTTGGCTGTCCTTAGAGTAAGGTGCACCCCTTATAAAGTAGGCTTTACTCCTTATGAAATTATGTTTGGAAGACTCCCCTCCCCTGCTCCCCAAAGTCAAAAGTGAGGTACTAGAAGAATTTTCTAGCCAGTCCTGTTTGAAGTATCTCCAGTCTCTAAAACAGGTACAGAAAACTTCACTCCCAGGTACAAACAAGCTACTCAGCCCTACCCAGCTCTATGCCATGGCACCTGTTCTGGCCCAAGAATACTCTCTTCCTCAAGGCTTTTCAGAGTAAAGGACTGACTCCAGCCTGGACGGGACCCTACATGTTCATCCTCATGACACCCTCAGCTGTCAAGGTTGACAGAATCTCGATGTGGGTTCACCATTTGCATGTCAAGTGGGCTGTTGAACAGGGACCCAACTCTTTAAAGCTAAGGCTAGTCCAAACATGACTGTGACACTTGTCCTTATTGTCTTTGGGCTAATGAAACCAAGCTCTAGAAATGCAGCAAGGAGAGAGGTACTCCTTCCTCCTCACCTTCCTTAGCTCAGGAGAAATATTAGGTAATGTAACTTTTGGTACCATCCAGCCCCAGAAAAAGCTCTCTGGTTGCCCAAGATTAATCTTTGTAAATTGGTTAGGAGAGATGTGGGGAGGTTCTATCAGTCTGTAGACCTGGGAAGCCATGATTTTTACGCATGCCCAGGATTCAGTCCATTTGGACAACAGGGCTGTGGGTCCCCAACTGATTTCTATTGCCCTAGTTGAGGCTGTGCGATGATCACCTCCTGTAGCAGGGGACCAAATGTCACTAATGATCTCTAGTATGGAAACACAGGGGCCAAGTCACGATTCTGATACAAAGCCCAGAACTTTCAATCGGCCATGAGATGGAATTGGGGCTTCTGCTTCTGGCTCCCTGGAGAACCCCTGACCCTAGGACAATCATCACCTTTCAGATCGGGTTGCTAAACCAGACACCAAGACAGCCAGTAGGACCCCTAATGAAAGTAAGGGTCCCCTTGCTTAACCCTCACCCTGTTATCCCTCTTTCAAGGCATCCAC